AAAAAAAAAATTGAAAGATTGAATGAATGCACCAAAACTTCTTTTATTTGTTCGTAGCTTCGAATAAAAAAATTGATAAAAAATTACTACTTAATTGTATCTTGCAATTTATTTTAGTATTGTATGCAAACCCAAATTATCCGAGAAAAATTGTTCAAGAAGTTGTGGAATTTTTGAAAAGCTTTCTTTGTTCGATACTTTTGTCAAACTTGAAAAAAGACGTTATTCAAACTTTACAAAAAAAAATATTTACATTACCGCTCAAGATCTAGACTCATGTTTCGCTCCATACGAAGTTATTGATGATGGTTTTATGATCGAATCAAGACGGTTTAGTGTATTGAAAAGTAAAGGACTATTTGACCCACAACCTTCTACGATGGGCGATCACTTGGAAGAAAAATTAGTAGGTAACGATTTACAGTATGTTCCACAAAAGATTCAGGGAATGAAAGTCCCTTTAAACAAATCATTAAAATTATTCCTAGAGATACCTGGCTTATTTAATGAAATAATAAAATATACGGAAGAATTAAATTTAGAACAACAAATTATTTCCAATTGCATGCAAGGAACTCTGTGGTTGAAAAAATATTGCACAAAATTCGTGAATCAAATAGTCCTTCCGCTTTATTTTTTTTTTTTGACGAGTTAGAGGTAGGAAACGCCTTAGGCAGCCACAGCGGAAAAAATTAATTTGGAGCTGGGTATATTTCAGTCTGTTCGTTACCACCATACTTATCATCGCAACTAGAATGTATTTTGTTTTGTATGTTAATAAGCAATGAAGATAAGAAAAAAAGTAACAACCAAAACATGTTTCGAGAATTCATAGATAAAATTAACTACCTTTAGAGGGAAGGTATTTCAATTATTGTAGATGGAAAAAGTATTCTCGTAAAATTTCAACTTTAATAAATCCTGGGGGATAATCAAGGATTAAATGACATATGCAGGTTTGTTGGTTCGTTCAATACATCTTTTTGTTGTCGGATATGCAAGGCTGATCTCACACAGATTCAAAGTTTGACTGTGGAAGACGAAACATTGTTAAGAACAAAAGACAATTATAGTATAGATACCTTAAATCCCGATTAAAAAAAAACTGGGATCAAAGAGAAATGCGTTTTCAACGATATTGATGATTTTCATGTAACTGAAAATGTTGGTGTTGATTCAATGCATGACTGCTTTGAGGGTGTTTGTAAGTGTGATTTGGAATCATTGTTGTATACATTTGTGTTTGAAAAAAGATTTTTTACTATTGAATATCTAAATCAAAAAATAGAAAGCTTGAAATTTTCAAATGACAATAATATAAATAAACCACCAACTATTTCAGTTACAAGACTAAGGCAACAGTCAGGTCTTAAAATGTCTGCTGCTGAGACAATAACATTTTTATATTTTTTACCTATACTAGTTGGTCATTTAATTCCCAGACATGACGAACATTGGGAATTGTTTAAGTACCTAAGGCAAATAATGGATATCGGTATGTCACCTCGTGTTATAAGATCCAACGATAAATCATTGATAAACATTTTAAAAGAGCACCATGAACTGTATATTAAATTTTATGAAGCACTAACAATCAAGTTTCATAATTTAATACATTATGCAAGATTATTACCAACAAACGGGCCCAACGTTAAGTATTGGAGCATGCATTTTGAGGCAAAACACCGTAATATAAAAGCAAGCGCCCAATCAATAAGCGGAAGCAAAAATATGAAACTAACAATCGCTAAAAAACAATGCCTCCAATTGTGTAATATTAACAATAATCTTAACGTTAACAATCGTACTAAATTCGGCCCCTGCGAAAAAAACAGGCCTAATTTGCTACTTAATAAGATTGTATCCTTTTCAAACGTCGCACCAACGACTGTATATTATAATTACGTTGAAATTCAGGGTCATACTTATATAAAAGGCACATTCGTCGTAGTAGACATGATTTCTGTTGAAAAATGCTTTAGAGAAATTATTCAAGTCATCGAAATTAATGATTGTATTTATTTTAAGCTTGAAATTTACCAAGAAATTACTTTCGACGAACATTTCCATGCATATGTAGTCCATTGGACTAGCAATATTTCTAAAGTTGTCAAATACGACGATCAGTACTTTATTTAGGAAAGAGTGGCCAGAATTGGCAAAGAAACTTTTAGATTGTTGCAACAAATCAAGAATCAAAGATGTTACTCAATTTTATGTTACTTACAAAGAATCCATTGAATCTGGTACGTATATTCAATTAATATCTAACTTGTTGACCGGATCTTATTTGTAACTGCACTAAAAGACGGGCAGTTCGATACAATTCTGGTAATTTTATATCAAAGTGAGAAACTAATTTTTGCTAAACTTATTTTAAAAATTTTGTTTGCACTCTAGGACAATGTTACGATGATCTAGCTCTTCTGTTATTACCTCTTTGCATGACAGTGCCCAAGACTGTAATGGTTAACATCGAGATTGTAAATATTAACAAAGCTGACATAAGCAGGACGTTCATTTTTCAAATGAAGGTTATATTATATACATGTCATTATAAAATTGCATGCTCGACAAGATCGTAAAAACAATCACGTATATTTTATCATGGCATATATAAAATTACTTGAAATACCTATTTCATTTATTTATTGCTATTTAAATATTGTATTTTTAATTTTACAATAAGTACAATTAATTCTGCATCATTGAATTGCAACTAAGCTTTACCATTTTATATCGCACAGTTATCGCAGTGTAAGTAATTAAAAAAGATTCATAAGTTTC